AAAAAAAAACAAAAGAAAATATTAACTCACTTGTTGTAAAAGTCGAAAACGAGTCATTCGATCTGTTGAAGCAAATAATTTCGTAATAATAGGAACAATACGTTTTTTATAATCATTATCCGAAAGTCGTTTTCCTAATTTAAACAATGTTGGTAAAACAGCTGAACCCGATGAACCAAATTCATATGCAGTAAATAATAATGGTAATAATTTACGTTCATTAATATGTGAAGGAAATTGATCGACTTTATCGGCTAATGAATTAAAAAATGTTTGTTTTTCTCCTGGATCTTTTAACTAAAAAAGAAATCGGAAAAAATCTAATTATTTATTTAATCGAAGCAATAGAAATTACTAACTTGAATTTGTTCGAGAAATAGAAGACTTTCAACTAATGAATTATTTTGAATAAAAGGAGATTGACAGAATTTATCCAGTGAACAACGAAGTGATGGATTGGAATTTATTAATTCACCATAAGCAGCAGATAATGGACGTGGTATAGAACCTAATTGACGATAGGATGAAGCAGAAGTAGCACCATTACCATTGAATATTTCCCATATTAATGTTCCAACAAACCAAATATCACGTGCTCTAAAAACATAATATGAATAAAATATTTTTTTGATCATAAAATGTTTACTTTTGACTATCGCCTCCTTTTTTGTTTGGTCCAGCTGGTGGTTCATAACGTTGACAAGCTGGTAAAAATCTCGATGGAACATTAATTTGTTCTTCAGTAATCGATTGCACAAATTCCAAACATGCTAATTTCCAATCACAAGATTTTGTATCTACAAATACTGTACTTGTATTAATATTTCCATGTGATAATTTACAATCATCATGAAGAAATGTTAACACACGCTAAAAAAAATAAAATCATTCTTATATTTATATAGATATATCATTAGATTTCTTACACATAATTGTTGTAGACCCCAAGCTATTTCAAGTAAATTTTCTGAATTAAAATTTGTTTCATTTTGTTTTAATTCATTTAAATATGTTTCAAGTGATACAGCTTTTTCTGTTACAACATAAACAGCTTTATCTGACTAGAAAAAAAAATAAATAGAATAGAAATAACCATATGTTGTTCATAGATTATACTATTACTTCAACACCATCAAGATAAACAAGAACATTTGGATGTCGTAATGTTTTCATACGTTTTAATGCTGCTTTAGCTAAATGAATCTAGAAGAGAAATATTATTTTCATCTATATAAAAATTTAACTTACATGACTTTCATTTTGACATGAAAAAATTGTGACTAAATCTCCTGTTGTCTAATAAAGAAACCTTTGAAAGAATAATTCTTGTTAATTAAAACAATTTACTTTTTTCTTTCCATTTAATATTGTCCATATCGAACGTGGATTACTGGTTGTTGTTTGACTGTCCGAAAGAACTTCATAACCAAGATCTTTTAATGGATCTTTTCCACCAGAGAAAAATGAACCCCACATAATTTCTAATCAAACACAAATAAACAACTAAACAGCTGATAATAATTACATCTGTTCAGACATTCTTCCAATATATCATACGCTAATATGTGTCTTTGTCTCATAGAAATATAATTGGATAAAATTTATGTACTAATCAATCTTTGATTATGTTCAATTTTTTAAAAAAATAATAAAGACTTCATTTTTTATTAATATGATCGGATAATTATACAAAAATATTGACAAATAGATGGCGATAGTAGCGCATATATTGATGAATCATTGTGGAATATGATCATCATTAGCATCGATGATCGATGATATGATAGTTAATATTGAACATTATAAGATAAGAAAATGAGTATTTCATCATAAATAAATAATAAGAGTTCCATATTCTATGGATGATTTAATTAGTATCGTTTATAAACTTAATGTTCAATTCTGAAAAATAAATAACTTACAAACGTAATCATCTTTAATAAACAAAAGAAAAAAGGTTATAGTAAAATTACAAAATAGACACTTGTTAGTTTTCTTTTTTTTTTCTTCTTATCCTCTCTATGTAAATTGCTTATATGAACGTTTGTAAGAGTAATATGATCCTATGAACAAGGTTGTTTAACATCCATCAAACGAACGATTTTATTCTTCATGATGAACATTTTATCGAAAGAATAATAAACTTTAAGCTTCTTTTTCTTCTAGTATTATTACTCTTGTCAAGAGTCTACATGTTATATTCACTATCTACAGTCTGTTCATCATAAAAAGAAATACTTAGAACAAATGTTAAATTGTGATTAATAACTAAGGTATACATATAACTTTGCCTGAAGTTAATAGTACATTATCTTATCTATCGTAGTATGTTACGTAAAACAAAATCAAATGAAAATACGGAATTGTTGGATGTTATATACTGAGATAATTTCTAAAAATATACTTTTATAAAGATTCATTACTGGTGGGAGATCAAATGTCTGAATGAATGTAATTACGATGGTTTTTAAAGCTTCACTAAGGAGAACTATTTTTTAATGTTATTAAGAAGTTTATCAAAGGCTTTTGATTAGCAAAGTAACCTGATTTCCGTATCTGTATTGCAGAAAAGATTAAATCTATTTTTATTTTGTTGACTTATACTTTAAGTAAATATAATTATTACAAGTACTTTTCAAAGGTTTTATTATTTAATCTTTGCTGAATACTCAAGAATCTGGAATGAAGAAATTAAAAGATTACTATTATGCTTGACATTTAATAATTTCTACTTTTTTATGAACCTTATTATATATCTTATTAGTAAACAGAAAAGATTATGCTAAGAGAAAATACTGAATTAAGGGTACGATGACAGTTTCAGAAAAAGCTTCTCTGATGAGATCTATAGGCTTCCTTTTGGATAAGATATATGTTTCTATATTATTAGTAAATAAATTCTGATAATTCCTGTCTACGACGTTAGGGAAAAATTTCTTTATTTATCCTCACTAATAACTATTATTATTTTTGAGAGAAACCTTACTTTTAATTATCATATTCTTCACTTGAACAAAGATGTATGATTTACATATAATTACAAAAAAAGTATTTCGCAGTTGACTGCCACTTATGTACGATAAGACGTTTGTTTAAAGTATATCTGTTAATTAATAGATTTTTTTAGTTTATTACTAAACATGTGAAAGTAAATAAAGAATCTATGTATATCATTTTACCAGACATTATATCTAGCTATTGTTTGCTCATCGTATCATAGTGAACGAATAAAAGTAAGATTACAATCAATAAACATTTCTAACGCATACAAATCAATTTGAAGTAAAGAAGAATTAAATTAAAAAAAACTTGCTATATAATAAATCAAATCGATAATTTACATTGAATATCTTACTACTATTTTTATAAAAAGTAGGTTATCTGATGTACGTCACGTTGTAATTTGCGTGTAACAAAGCCCTAGTATATAAGAAGAATTAGTCTTGTTAGCTTATTCTCGACCATAAATAAGATTTGTTATATTTAAATACAGATAAAAGCACGGATAATTTTTTTTTTCGTATCTCCGTAATAGTATTTAAGACAATCCAGAAATAATGATCGGACTGATACAGCACTGTATAATAAGCTTAAAGAAAATTTCTATTTATATAACTTGTTAGTAAAAGCATTGCTGTATTTCTGTTGCAATTAATGAGATTCGAATCACAACATTTATGCGGTCCATCACAAATTTCCTGTTTTTTTCTTTAATAATGTATACATAAAATTTGTTACTTTGTATTACAATAATGTTGAGAATGAAAAGGCATAAAATAGTGACTGAAACGTGAAGTGAAAGTATTTATATAAATCGAATACCATTTGATTTTTTATTCTAAATGCTAGGCCTAGCTCATATAAGGAAGCGTAAAAAAAAATACAATTTTTATGGTGAATTATTTTATTTGTTTCATATTTTGAAATAAAAATAAATGGTTAACAACAATCTTTACGGAAGAATATTTTTGAAAGACTTAATAGACGTCTTCTGATATCCAAGTTCTTTATATTGATTTTCAATTTTTAACAGTACGATATGTATAATTATTAGAAAATATGAAAAAAGCAAATATGATATCAATAATAATGCAGACAAATATAAAATGATATTAGTATTGATAATATTGTTATTGTTATCGTCCGAAGATTATTATAACTGAAAATTTCAGATCTGGGATTTGATCGACTGGTGTAAGAAAAAAATATAGAATAATCGGTTTTATAAGTTCATACTACTCTTATATCTTCAAATTTGTCAACATTTCAATTTATTCATTACTATTGAGATCTAAAGAATATTTCTGTTTAAATATCGTGATAATAAACTCAATACACGGTTATATTATAATATCCAAGGGGGAACAAACTGATTTCGTGATTTCTAATAACCTCCAATAGTTTCTGATCGTTTTTAATAATTTTTTCCAAACATTCTCAGTCATTTTCCCAATGTTCTTAATATTTTAGAATAATTTCTAGTATAGAGATCAACTTGCCATGCGAACATAATATATCTCTATTGTTACATTTGGATTGCTTTAAAGTATTTTATATTGAAGCTTTTGATTCAAAAACTGATCATATTAAAACAAACATCTAATAGGGTCAAACAGTATAATATCGGATATGTGCTTATTTCACTAATGTATAGATCAGTTTCTTAACAAATTATTCAGAATTAAGTCATAATATTATACAGATTTTATTTAATAAAATGTGAACTTTGATCTTTTCATCGGACAATCAACGAGGTAGTTTTTCTATATATGTTTTCTTGAAAATAACAAACCAATCCATATTTTCTTCTCTTTGTAAGTACTTGTCTCATCAACATATTTTTTTGAACATTAAACTAAAAGCTTTTTTTTACCAAATACACAACTATTTTTGAGTATTTCCTTATCAAAAGTGATGTTTTTTTGGTGATAATTAAAAACAAAACGTTGATACTTGTCGTTTATTTTTCTCTTGAAAAATGAAAAAAATAATGGTATATCATTACATCTTCTTACTCACTTCACATAGAAATAAAGTGTTAGCAATTTTATTATTTTTTCTCTATTTCATCTTTTACACTCTTAAAATAAAAAGCTTTTTTTTTCTTATAAATTAAAAAATGATTATATAAAAGAAAAAAATATACCTTTTTTCATCATTAAAAAATAAAATAAAATTGTTATTTATTATCAAAAACATTCTCTTTGAAATGGCTGGTCTTACATCAACATCAGTATTATCATTGTTTCTTATATGTTGTAGTAAGTCTAATATTTTGTACAAGAAATATATTTATATATGATATTATCTTAATCATAGTGATTATTAGTGCAAATGCAGCAAATAATACAACACAATTTGATAATTTTACAATTGAATGGGATGATTTCAGTTTATTTACATGCGCTTTACCATCAACATTAAAAACATCCATTTTCACTTGCGGTGCAGGAGCACAGAACTATTCAATGAATGATATCGATTGTCTTCAACAAACAACAGTTGATTTTGATCAAGGTCAATGTCAAATAACTACTACGCAAGTTATGTATACAACCAGTGCTGCAACAACAACAGCACAAATGACAACAGTTGCAAGTACTACTGCAAACGTACAAGTAAATAAAATTAGAAACCTTTTTTTATTGTAAAAGTCTTTTTATATCAACATTAATATAATGATTTATATCGGACGTTATATAAAAGATTAATTGTTCCTTAAAATGCTAATTTACCTAGAAGTATCTCACTCAAATATAGATCAATCATGCTTATTTTATTTATAGACTTCAACAAGTACAGTACCTGCTACGACACAGTCAGCATCAACGACAACACCAACACAAAATCAAACCACAAATTCTACTGGAACGAGCTATACATCAATGACAGTCACTAATGCCACAGCAACTACTGCTAGCAGCAGTAATACTTCGGCTGCTACTCAGATAACAGCTACTGCAGCGAGTAGCAATACTTCAGCCGCTAATCAGACAACAACAGCTACGGCAACGATTAGCAATACTTCGGCTGCTATTCAAGCAACAACGGCTGCTGCAGCGAGTAGCAATATTTCGGCTGCTATTCAAGCAACAACAGCTACTGCAGCGAGTAGCAATACTTCGGCTGCTATTCAGACAACAGTGAATTTATCAACAGCAACAGCAGCTACGGCTAGTTCAAGTAGTATGGCATCTGTCATTAATTCTACTATGATGGCAGCAACTGCTGGCCCTGGTAGTAACACTACAATCACAACAGCACTCTCAACAACAACTCCACAAAATACATACGCTTGTCCCGATCCTACTTATATAGGTGCATATTGTAATGTATCATCTGATGCATGTGCTATGTCACAACCATGTCAAAATGCAGCAACTTGTTTTCCTAATAATACATTACCACTTGAATATTTTTGTAAATGTGCACCCGATTATACAGGTTACAATTGCGAAATTGATGAAAATGCATGTCAAGAAGGAACATGTTGGTAAGTTAATCATGATCTATTCGTGAAAGATTTATTTATTTTCTTTTTATCTTTTAGGAATGATGGAACTTGTCTACAAGGAAGTGGAACATCATCTTCGACTAATGGATCAACATTTACATGTGAATGTAGTGAAGGTTATGACGGTGTTCATTGTGAACTTAAAGTTAATTTATGTGGTAATATAACATGTCAAAATAAGGGTATGTGTGAAACATATGATATGCATTGGAAATGTGTATGTCTTGATCCTACACTTTATTATGGTGATTATTGTCAATTTAAAACAAGCAAATTAGAAGTTAAAGAAATTTTAAGTAAATCATTTGCGTCTATTGCAATTGCATCTCTTATTGTAACATGTGGATTTATTCTTGTTATGGATATACTTAAATATTTTTTCCATATTGATCCTGTTGAACATGAACGAGAAACTTATCGAAAACGACGTGATCAACGAAGACGTGCACGAAAACCACCTAAAGATGGTGACATGAAACTTGCATTAAGATTTCAATATATAGCATAAACATATACATTATTTTCTTCACTATATTATATATTTTATTCAGTTCTTTATTTTAAATAAACCTGCTTTTTTTTTCTTCCTTTAATTCATGAAATTGTATCATATAGAAATTTGATATATAAATACAAGATGATTCAAAAGAGATTGAAATTTAAAATACGCAATCACTGTTTGTCATACTTCTTGATAAAATATTATCATCTGGAATATATAATAACAATTTAACATTTACATTACACTCTTACACTTCAAAATTCCGTTTCCTCTCTTTATGTCATGTCTCTTAGTATCGACTAATAATAGCTTTCAAACAAACACAAGACAAATGTAAATAGAAATGGTATATATAAATATGAACAATAATTTAGAACGAAAATAAATTTGTATTAAAAGAATTAGAATTGTAAACTAGCCAACCAAAAAACGAAAAATAAAATATGTGCACCATACATTATTTGTATTGCTTGTAAAGTAATTTTATATTCTTAATTCAATATTCTTGTCCTTTATGATGCTTATGACTGTGAAAAATTGATTACACAAAACATCATCTTTGTTATATATAGGATTTATCAAAAACCTAATGTATCATTGAATAATACGATTACATCAGATAATTTTAAAATTATATCCACCTCTTATTCTATATTACAATGTACGATATCTTCAACAGATATATTACTATATAGAGTAACAGGACAAGATAAGTTATTATATTAAAATCGCCTTTTGATTTCCTAAGACAATAACTAGCGTCACCTATTATTTAAAATAGAAAAAAAGAAATTCATTGTTTATTAGTTTTACTAAATAATAGAAAAATATTTGTTTTTTTGAACGAATAATAACTTTTAAATGAAATAATAAGAAAACTTTGTAGTTCAGTATGGGAACTTTTTGACCGAACATTGATTGGTACATTGATATCTTTGTAAAACATTAGTTGAAAGTAGTAAATTTAAATTCAACTTTTCTCCTAATCGTACAATCTCTTCATTAAATACTTCGTCAATATATCTGTTTAAATTTATTATTTGAATAATCCAATGGGTCCACCAGGTAATTTCAAGGTGAAATATTTCTGAAAAGTATATCTTTTATTTAAATAGATTTTCGAGGAGGTCGTGGCGGCGGTTTTGGAGGCCGTGGAAGAGGTAAGGGATATTTGATTTGTGAACTCAACTAAATTCATATTCTTTCTATAGGCGGTGGTGATCGCGGTGGTTTTCGTGGCGGTCGAGGTGAGATTTTATCAAGATAATTAATTTTTATCTCATCTAAATTTTATTTAGGCGGTGGTGATCGCGGTGGTCGTGGTAAGCATTTTTGAATAATGGAAAAAAAATAATAAAGAATTTAACTGATAGGTACACGTGGAGGTGGTGTCCGCGGTGGTGGACGTAAGTAGTTTCTTTAAAGATTTATTTAGTTATATAAATAATTTTATCTTAGGTGGACGCGGTGGCGGTGGACGTGGTGGCGGCCGAGGTGGCCGTGGCGGAGGTGCAGGTAAATTACTATATTTGTTTTCTAACAATTAATAATATATTTTCAATCGATAGGAGGTGGTGGAAAAAAAGTCGTTGTTGAACCCCATCGTCATCCAGGTTAGTTTACTATTACCTGAATGATTTTCTTATTTTTATTGATCATTTTTCTATAGGAGTATTTATCGCTCGATCAAAAGATGACGATATGTTATTAACTAAAAATATGGTCGTTGGTGAAAGTGTTTATGGAGAAAAACGTATTAGTGCTGATGTATGTAATATTTTCAATAAAAAGAAAATATATATAGAATTTCTTCTTTTTTTTAGGGAGAAAATCAGGAAAAAATTGAATATCGTGTATGGAATCCATTTCGTTCGAAATTAGGTGCTGCCATTCTCAGTGGTGTTGATAATATCCATATGCCACCAGGTACAAAGGTTCTTTATCTTGGTGCAGCAAGTGGTACAACTGTATCTCATGTATCTGATATAGTCGGACCAGTACGTACTTAATTTTTATTTAATTTAAAACATTAATATTTTCTTTTATTAAGGAGGGTCTTGTTTATGCTGTTGAATTTTCTCACCGTTCTGGTCGTGATTTACTAAATGTAGCAAAAAAACGAACAAATATTATACCAATTATTGAAGATGCTCGTCATCCACATAAATATCGAATGCTTATTGGTTAGCAAAAAAAATTCTATATAATTTAAATAAAACAAATTATGTTTCTATTTTGTATAGGAATGGTTGATACAATATTTGCAGATGTTGCTCAACCAGATCAAGCTCGTATTGTTGCACTTAATGCCCATCATTTTTTGAAAAATGGTGGTAATTTTGTTATTTCAATTAAAGTAAATAATCAAGATTTTGATTTTCGAATAATAAAATATATATTTGACTTAATAGGCTAGTTGTATTGATTCAACAGCTGCACCAGAAGCTGTTTTTGCTGGTGAAGTCAAAAAACTTCAAAGTGAAAAACTTAAACCAAAAGAACAGCTTACATTGGAACCATACGAACGTGATCATGCCATTGTTGTTGGTAGTTACCGGTAAAGATAAATTTCCCAAAAAATTCATTTTATTTTATCAATATTATTAAATATTTTAGACCTACTGGTAAAAATAAGATTAAAGAAGAAAATGATACAAAAGAATCAATGGAAGATTAATAATATTGTTGTTATATATTCAACAATTTTGTGTCGGCGTTATATGCCTGTTATTTGTACCGTTTTTGTTGTTGATTATAAATAGCAAACACATTTAAAAAAAAAACATAAATCTTTTGAAATTGATAAAGAATTTTTTTTAAGAAATCAGATAGGAATCATAAAAAACAAATAGGAAACACCGTAAAAAGACAATTCACAAGTGATGATGGATAAATCAAGATGTTTCAATAATCGACTTATCTATAAGAAAAATGTTTATTTTACGAATAGTTGGATAATAAAAAATTGAACTTTATCTGTTTTTTCACACCCACACACTTCATGTAAGAATATAATCAATAAAGTGCGCATAGTGTTTGTCCTGTATCAAAATTAGTGTTTCCTTCGAAAAGTTTTGTTGGATCATATGTTGGTATAATTTGTAAAGCATATATATAAGTAGAATAAACTGCTGTTAAAGACTTTGATACATATGTATTCCAATTCGATTGATTATATGGAAAAATATTATTCGTATAACTTGAACTACCAATTGAAGTTTGTATATTAACCCAAAGACGATATGTTGAATACGTTTGAGCAATAACTACGATGTCCGAAGCAAATATTGGACTTATCAAAGACCAACCTATAGCTGTACACGTTGATTGACTAGCCGTATATGTCATTAATGATGAACTGATTAATTGTGTACATACCCATTGAGATGAATATTGAATCAATATATAACCTTCAGATTCACATGGGAGACATTTATTTGAAGTTTGTGACCAAAACCATAAAGGTACATTACAATCACAAATACCATCTATAAATAAAATATAATCGGATAAATTATTTCCAGTTTTAACTTACTAATACAAACAAGATTTAATGTTTGTGAACACTGACTATTACTTGTACAATTATTATAACTTGTTCCTTGATTCATACATGATGATGTACTATTAATACCAGTTCCTACAACCCATGCTTGTCCTTGATTACAATCACACGTATATAGTTTTGATTGTGAAGGACAATCGCATGCTGGATATGAACCAGGTAGACGACAAAAAAGTCCAGCTTGAGTATTACAACTTGTATTTCGATCACAATAACTAGAATATGTTGAAACTGATTCACACCTAGCATTAGACCAATATGTCGACACAGGGCATATACATATTTGTGTTCCTGGATCACATATAAGACCTAATTGTGTATTACATAGCGCAGTACTCGTTGTCAGACATGAATCACCAAATAATAAATAAGCTAAAATAATCATATTTCATATTTTTTTATATTCTATTTTTAATCACTTACTTGTACAATTTGTACCACTATAATATGTATTTGAAGGACATCGACACATATTATTTTGCTGACAAATAAGACCTTTACTTGTATCACATTGTTGATTTATTGAACATGTTGCATTAATATTTCTAACTGTTAAACATTTTCGAAAATTCGTATCCCAAAAAGTTTGTTCCGGACAAAGACATATGAACAATGTTGAACTACATATTAAATTTGCTTGTGATATGCATTGCGCTTTTCCTTCTGCACATGATTCTAAATAAGATGCTGTTTGACGAAGACGAACAAGTCCAGCTATAAGCCAAGCAATGGACAATGAAAGAGCAATAATTACAAAAAATGCAATAATAAAACGACGTGGATGTGTTGAATGTTCATAATGAATAAATGTATACAAACGTTTTGAACGAGATCGTTCAGTAATTAAATTTGATTGAGGTAATCGACTAAAAAACGTAACATCAGACGAGGAAAATGCTGACGATGGCATCAATAAAATTCTTTATCGAATAATAAAATAAACGGCTTCTTTTTTTGTTGTTTTATATATTCGTATTAATGTAAAGAACAATGAGAAGAAGAAAAAAACCTATAGAAATTGATTTTACGATGCAAAAAATATGATACATAATCATTTCTATGTTCTCTTATATTCAAAACAAACTAGAGAACAATAATAAACTTAAATAATATTTATTCTACTGTTTTAAGCAATTATATATTTATTATTGAATTAAAATAGAAAATCAATTAATTACATTTAAAACGAAAAAACTAAAAATTTAGAAAAAATTTTCAATAATTAGTTCGAATGCTCGAGGTTCATATCGAATATATTTTTCACGATGTCGTGTAAAATCTTTATGTGCAAATTTAGTATAATAACGTTTATATAATTCCATAATTAATGCTTTGCCTTCATTTCGTAAACGATCACGTAAATCAACATCACTAACAATATATTGTTCACATTGTTGTCGAATTGTATCAATAGCTGTATTAACAGTTGAAAAACTTTCTTTTAATTGTTCACGATCACGTTCACGTAACTAAATTATATATATAATATTGAAAATAAGAGAAAATGTTTTTTGAAATTTATAACGAACTTTTCCATCAGGTATATGATTTTTATTATCATATTCAAGCATTTCTTGAATAGCAATAATTAATGGAGTATAACTAAAAAGAAAAGTGATTTTCAATAGTTAAATTAGATCACAATTTTCGATAATTAAAAAATCAATCAAGCAATATTTTGATTATTACTTTTTTAAATCTATCTATATTACTGTACGAACACATGGGGACTCAATAGTAGAAGATGTTTATGCAATACATATATATCTATGATTCGCAGTGATGCCATATTTAAGTTAGAGCAAGATTTTCTGTAACCATAAGCATCGCCTATCTGAAGTTAGATATACAACTCTTCTACTCATAAGTACAAGACAGTTGGTATCGAACTCAAAAGAATTAATGTTATTTACGTTCAAACAGATCTGGGCAAGTACAGACTCTCTCGGGTACGAGTACTATTCTATCAAGGGCGGCTAAGAGATTTTTACCATAGCTGTTACGGAAAAAAACCTATATCTAAACAGTCGAAATAAAAAGACGTCAAGAATTCATATCATTCATGCAGCACAGAATCACATGGCAACTTTTTATGAGACATAATCAAGAACTCGAAGGTCATATCCTCGAGTACGAGTACTTTGCCCTGCTCTGCGTTCAAAAAAGTATTCAATAGAAGAAAATATGTCAGATGTATAGGCATTAATTCTGTTTTTTCATTAGAACTCATCCCTAAAATATACTACTGAAGAATGGAAAGATGACCTAATAAATACACCTATGAAAACAAATGTATAGAGTACTTTAATACGTAGACTATCTTTTCTAACTATTAAATAGTGATTTTCAAATATGTAATATAAAATAATACCATTTCGTATAATCTTTCAAGTGTGTTTGAAAATCATTTTCATATTTTTCTTTCAGATCTGGTTGATATCGCTGAATAATACCCAACAAAGATGAACTAAATAAAATATTAGATAAGAATCTCAAGTTCATATTCAAATATATGGCATACTTTTCAAGTCGTTTAAGCAAATAATTCATATTATTGAGAATAAATATTGCTCGTATTGTTGTATCAGTACGTGATGGATAACTTTCACTTTTTCGAAATAAACTTACATGAAGTGCTTGAACTAATTGAGCTAAATAAACAAAATTGATTAAATTAAGTTCTATATATATGAATAGATACATACCAAAATAAGTTCCTAAATCATAAAGACCTTTTTCTGGCCCTGATAAACCACCACTACTTGTTCCTAATATAATAAATTAGAATAATTTCAAAAAACGTTTCGATTTTTTCCTTACGTTGTTGTTGTTCGACATAAAGCGTAGCAATAATTGTTGCAGTATCATCATATGCTAATAATCCTTCCATAAATGCTAATACATGTGATGTTAATGGATGTACATTACCACCTTGACTAGGGGGTTGTTGATCCGAAGTAACTTCTTCTAAAACACTTCGAAGATATACAACTGCCTAAAATAAAACATAAGTCATTGACAAAATTATTTATCGAGTATTTACTGATTGTTCAAATGTTGCAGAAAGCGTTGTAAATTGTTGTCGACGAGCAGGATCACTTTCCTTTTAAATAAAATATAGATTAATCGAAATTTATTAAACATATATTCACTTGATAAAGTTTAGAAAACACTGCTCTTGATCGTAGAAACCATCTTAATATGGAAAAAACACCATAAATTGCAAATTTACCAGCATCTAGTTTACGTGGTATTCGTTCAATTGATTGACATAAACGTTGACCTTCTTCACGCATATATACTAATGGTAATTCAATTAATTTCGTAAAAACAAGTGATTGTAAATCAATTGGAAAAACATAATTAAGTAAATCACGATCACGTTGTAAAAGAATAATAAATGAATCAAGTAAGACTTTATAATTATTTGTATCACGATCATCATTTGCATCAAAAACAGCATTTTCTTCTAAAGTTGTTGTTGATGTTGATAGAGGAGAATTTGAAGTACGAGATATTGTACTACTACCACCACCAGATGTACGCATAAAACGACGACCCATATCACTAAATTAATTTAATTTCTAGTCATAAAATATTTTTTTGATTCAATAGACTAGATAATACACTTTTCTCATCTTAACAAGATTGATTTAATTAAAGAGTCAAGTCTTTAATTATTTTTTCGCCTGATTGAAACATATAATTAAAAAAGGTATGTGTGAAAGAGAGTATGATTTTCATTTCAAACAGTCCCAATGTGCAAATATGCAAGAGAAAAGAAGAAGCAACGGACAATAGATTCACTTACGGTGATAAATATTGTCTGAATAATTAAAAATAATATAAATGCATGCTGAAAAAAAACATGATTTTTATTATACCTGATTTTTTTTCCTTGGCGTTTAATTGTATCTGAACCAGATATATTTTGTGATGAAAGACTTGGACTTGATGACCCAAGGATGGATGAACGACGAACTGATGTTCTTCCTAAATGTTCCGCAAGACTGAAATAATAAAAAATCGAATATTTTCTTTTTTTTGTGTTGTCGAATTTAGTTTCATTACAGTTGAAGAGATCGTCGAATCATTGTACCTCGTTTTGTCGCATATGAATCAATAAGACCTTGTCGAAAACCATGAGAACTAAACCATTCAATTATGCTTCTTAATACACCCATATCCGCTTCTGAAATATTTTTATAGAACAAAATAAATTGTAAATTTAATTTTACCTTGCATTGCATGAATATCAGTTGGATTCTTTGAAGATAATTCACATAATTCTATTAATTCTTTTGCTGCTAATGGATTAGCATATCTTAATATAAGTTTATCAGTTTCTTCAACAAGTCGTTTTCTTCCAAGATCAAATAATTGCATAACACGTTCACGTTCACTAACAGCTGTTTGTGTACGTCGAAAATATTTAACTGCATCTTCAAGACGATCTAATTCAGATAAATAATCCGCTAAATTTCCACCTGGACCTGAAGATATTGTTGGTGTTAATTCACCACATATATCATAGAAATGAAGAACTGAATCAACTAATGTTAAACTTTGATCAACATTATGTAATAATAAACGTAATTCATTTGTGGCTTCATAAACAGGTGTGACTAATTCATCTAATGATTGAAGTTTTCTCTCAAAATTATCTAAAGTTGATACCATACCACTTGTTAAGGTATTAGAACGAGATAATGATTCTTGTAGTAATGCCAAACGACGTTTTTCCTATTAGAAATAAACAGAATGAAGTTTATATTCTACAGATGAAGAAAATAGTGTCCATATCAATAAAATGATATACCGTTGAAGTTAGAAGCCATGCATGAAAATTCCGAATGGTCAACGTCGAACTATAAAATTTTTATACAAATCCTCACTCTACAATCAGTAAAGTTTCTCCGAGAATTCTAAAATCAAGGATTCGAAAAATGTTAAAAAGAGACAAGATGATAGCCAACATTTATGAATTATAATCACAAATAGATTAGTTTTGCTAGAATAGAATATTCTATTTTAAATACATTTCTCACCTCTTGTAATTTCGTCTCAGATGAACGTATAATTGTCTTAGTTTCTGCGCCACCTGTCATTTTATTATATATTTTCGATTATAACAATCTGAAAAAAAAAATCATTTTTCGCGTTAAACGACAGATAAATGTATGTATATTTATATATATATATATGTATAAACCAAATATATCTTACAAAAAAAGAGCGAGAAACATAAATCAGATCGTATATCATGCAGAGGAAAAAAATGATTTCTATATTTAAAGAAGAATACATCCTTTCTTTTTGGCTTTTGGTTTTGGACATAAATGAGCGCGTATTGCTTCATCAAACACTGTCTTCAATCCTTTTTGTGTTAATGCCGAACATTCAAGATATTTAACAGCACCTATTTCCTTACGCATTGATTCACCTTGAAGTGTTGATATTGGTGCTAATTTTTTTTCCTGCAAAAATTCATATTAAAACAAATGAAAACTTTGAAGATTTATTCTTACACGAAGTTTTTCAATTGCATTTTTATCATCACGTAAATCAAGTTTTGTACCGACTAGAACAATTGGTGTTTGTGGACAATGATGATTAACTTCTGGATACCACTAAATAAATTTAATAACAATATTTATTATGAAAAATTTATTAACAAAATTTTTTTTACTTTAGCTCGAACATTTTCAAACGAAGCTGGACTAACAAGTGAAAAACAAATAAGAAAAACATCCTACAACAAAAAAAAATATCATTTATTAATTATCAAAAAAAAAGCTTTTTCTTTACTGTTTGTGGATAAGACAATGGACGTAGACGATCATAATCTTAAATAAACAAATCTATTATAAATATTCCTATTCTTCTATAAACGATTATACCTTCTTGACCAGCCTAAGAATAAAAAAATAATTTAATAAAGAAAAATCCAATGGAAATTATCTAGTTTACCGTATCCCATAAGCCAAGATTAATAGGTTTTCCATCGACCATAACATTAGCTGAATAATTATCAAACACCGTTGGAATATATTCACCCGGGAATGTATTTGTTGTATAAGATATTAGTAAACATGTTTTACCTACGGCACTAAAATATGAATTTTAGCGAAATATTTTATCTTTCGAATGATAATTTACCCATCGCCGACCACAACACATTTAAGCGCTTGCATTGTATTAAATCAAAGAAAAAAAGAAAACAATCTATTTTTTATTATTTATCTATACGTTCTTTAATAATTTTGAAGATACTAGTATCATCATAGCATCTAAAGAGAAAAATTATACATTTTTCGGACAGATAGAATGAGAAGAAAAAAAAATAAGGTTGATGAATTCAAGCGAACAAAGAAAAGAAAGAGAAAAAAAACGTATGAATCATTATAGTCACTTCTTATTCATTTGAAAAAATCGTATAATGGATTGAAAAAATAACCATTCAATACAGAGACAGAGGTCGCATACTTTTTAAAAATTTTTTAATCATGCATCTTCACTCCTCCTACACACATGTTGAAGTATGTTACTCATCCTATTCATGATTAATTTATTAAATAATGGAAGAAGTAACTGAGATATCAATTGATGTTTGACTTTATCTATTTTTTTTTATGAAATTTTTGTCTTTCCTATTGATTAAAATATTGATGATAGGATAATTTCTATTTATTTTTATATAGATAATTTTTATATCAAATATGTAAAACGATTAGAACTTACATTACTTTTATCTATGTAATGCAAATCTTATAAAATAATCAGCTAATCGAATAGTTTACAAAAAAAATTATTTAATACAATACATATGATATCTCATGATCTCAGCCACGCAAAATGTTTTTCAATAATATGGTAAGTTTAAATAAGAACAATTAACCAATGCTTTCTTAACTCTGTATTCTATTGAGCGAAAATTTGTTTCATGAAAAAGGTTATTTAAATTTACGATTTTTATATAATTAACAGTCTGATTTTCGCAGTTTGATTAAACGGCTAAGGGGTGATTCCGTTATGTTCGTTTGTAATGGATAAAAAAATCGTAGACAGTTTTACAGTGCTTCGTTTTGAAAAGCACAATTGTTCGTCTAAAATTGCAAGTACATTTCATTTTAGACACTAAGTCGTTTATGCGCAATGAAACAAGCAAAGCGTGACTATATCACGTTGTACGTAGACTGACGGTAAAGTGATTAGCACTTTATTGCAATAACAAAATGTATATTTGATGGAGTTATTGTGCAAGTGTATTTACCTTAATTATAGGTACAATAAATAATGTGACATTATAGACAGATATCGTATATAAGTATAAAAAATACGCATACATTCCTTGTATTTTTTTCGTAATAACACCACATTCTTTTTTCTCATCGAATGGATAACGACAACGGTAATTATCACTCTAAACACTCTTCTTTATTTATCTTTTTGTATAAAGAGAACAAAAAATTAGATATTAGATTATCAGTAATGTAATTGGGACTGATGGATGTTATCAGAGCAATAGATGACACTTGATGATATTTGTTAGTAAATTAGTAATATAAATTAGTATAATATGTCCAACTATATAACGCATACATTGATTGTATTCGTCATATTAATATTAACCTTGACAATTCGATCTGTTATTTATTAGATATATGAAATATTCGACTTATAGTTAGGTTCTTTTGAATAACAATAAAGATAGATTTTACAACAATTTCGGTTAGCATACTTATGACGATCGAGAATCGATGCACATAGACTATGTTTTAATAATTTAACTTTCTAAAAAAACATAATTTTCGACATTTAATGATGACTAATTAATGCTTTAAGCTGCTTTTTTAGTTTCGTTAAATTGCACGATCAATTAATTCAAGTAAAAGAATTCCAATTTTATCAGAACATTTATGTATTTTTTAAACATTCTTCGAATAATTCTCTCTCTTATTTATATTTCTTTTCTTACATCTATCGTTTTCTCATTGACTTATTATTTCATATATTACAAACGTAGACAACATAAATAAGGCTTCTTTTTTCCTTTTTTCACGGTCAGATTAATTCACTTATTAACACACAAACTTGATCTTTTTCTACTACTAAGAAAACTAGAAAACAAACTGACAGTGTAAAAAAAATGTACAGTTAAAAGTATACAATATCATGCTTGATATTGTACTAAATGAGCTGTACTTTTCAATAGATGTCACGATGATATCGCTTCACGATCGGTTATATAAAATTCTCCAATGAATGACTCTCCTGTCATAACTACTAATAATCATACCATCTGGTCTGTTATTATTAGTCGAGCATTTGATTGTCTTTTTCAGCTGCAACAATAATGACAAGCCAGACATATTGTGGTTGTCCTTGTCCACCAACGGTTTCATTTGTTCAACGAGTAGGCTCGGCTTTATTATATGCGGCTTGTTCAGGTTTAATTACAATTGTTAACAAAGTTGTTCTTACAACCTATGGGTACGTCCTTCATTATTTGTGTCGTCTTTTTTCTCAGCAGTTTCGTCCCCCTATTACATAACAGGTTCCCCTCATTTCAACTGCTTGCCATTGGACAGGTAGGCACTAATCTTGAATAACTAATATCTTCTAGTTTAATACCCGCATGTTGTGTAAACTTCTATTAATTATAATTCTAATATTTCATTTTTTTTCCTATGAAAATATTACTAATTTATTCTTATATTTTTTTCTCTCTTTTATATAGTTAACTGTTTCAATAGTTATATTATATACAGCACGATCATTTAATATTATTCGTTTTCCTCATTTTTCGGAGAATGTTATTAATAAGGTTTGTTTTTTTTTCTTCATAAATCTCTTTATTTTTATTATAATTAATAGATTATGCCATTACCACTGTTTTTCTTTGGTAATTTACTCTTTGGTCTTGCTGGAACACAAGCAACGAGGTAACACTATTATTGAAAATCTTTAGTTTTTTTTTCATAACTGATACATAGTTTACCAATGTTTACTGTTCTACGTCGTTTTTCAATTTGGTTAACAATGATTGGTGAACAACTTATACTTCGGTAATATATTTCTATTTATTAATTTTGATAAAATTTCATTTTTATTTTCTTAGACAAACCCAAAGTCCAATTGCACAATTTAGTGTTTATATCATGTTAACTGGTGCTATGATTGCTGCAAGTGATGATTTAACATTCACTTGGTTTGGATATATTTTTCTCAGTATAAATAATCTCTGTACAGCTGCACAAGGTGTTGTAATTAAACAAAAATTAGTCAATAAAGTAAATAATTATATTCTAAATTTTACAAATAGAGAGATATAATAAATTGTTTAGGAATTTAATCAATATGGTCTCCTGTTTTATAATTCACTTGTTGTTCTTGGACCAGCTATTGTTCTAACAGCTTTTACTGAAGATCTCAATAAAGTAAATAACTTTTAATTCATTCTTATTTGAAACGTGTGATTTAGGTTCGAAATTATGATCGTTACTCAGATAGTGGTTTTATATGTGCTGTTCTTCTCTCATTATTAATGGGATTTTTACTTAATTATTCAACAATGTTATGTACTAATTATAATTCTCCATTAACCACTACGGTGGTTGGTGCTTGTAAAGTCAGTTTTAGATTTTTCTTAAATTTTTTAATGTTTCTTTTACGAAATATAGAATATGTTTGTTACCTATGTTGGTATGATTGTCGGTGGTGATTATATTTATTCACATGTGAATTTTATTGGTCTTAATATCAGGTAGAATTTTTATTAGAAATAATTGACAATAGATATTGATAAAAATAACAAATTTGAGTTGTAAACATTTAACGAAGGACAACAAAACTTGACTTCAATAATGATCTTTACTGAAGTCATAGATATTAACGAATGAAACTACAACTTGAAAAAATAAGTGTTGAAGACCTTGAAATGTTTTTTTCTAAGACAGACACTAAAAAATACAACAATTCTTATGTATATTATACTACCATGATAAAGCTAAAATATTGTATTATGTTTGTATTCGAAAGATGACTTTATAAAAGAGAAAAAAAATATTCATCGAATGAATATCGATTATAACTAGAAGAAACAGAACGGAACTAAATAAATTTATATTATCGATAATATGAAGTAGAAAAAAAACAACAAAATGTATTACTATAGGATAGTTGTAAAAGTAAATAGATTAAATTTTCATTAGATCGATCTGAAACGAAAAAAAAAGTTTTAGAAACACGTAAACATTAGCGAAAAATGTATAGTGCTATTTACTAGTCTAAATTCACTGATACATCTTTGGCATTGTCTTGAATTTTATGACTGCTAGATTTTTGCTAAAATATTCTGCCTAATAAAATTATCGACTAATTTTCCTGGACTCATATTGAATCTAAAGGTTAAATTTATTATTCTAGTGTTCTTGGCAGTCTTATTTATTCTTGGATGACATTTGTTCGTAAACCATCAGCAATAATATCAACACATGGAAGTGGATCATCGATTACAACGGTCGACAATCGAAAAGGCATGCATAATTCAGTTTAATTATTAATATTGGTGAATGGCAATAATACTGCTATGAAATAATATTTGAATACTAATAATGATTATTGAACACATCTATTGGTATTATGTGTATTTATTAATGTTAATTTGAGAATAAAATAGATTTTGATTTAATTCATTAGCAATAGTTTAATTAATCAAATATGTATTTTATTCAAAATAATTTAATTATCTGTTTCTCAGTATCATAATCTCTTCTTTCTTTTTTTGTTAACCTTTTTTTTTATTTTCGATGCTATGACAATCCTATGTATTATTTAATATTTGTAGGAATATTGTATACGTATGTATGTAATATAATGATCTTATGACAATTTGCTTCTTTAGTATTATATTACAATGGATAAGATAAGCATGTATATATACATATATTTCTACTAACAAATTCTTAGATATAAACATGCGAAAAAACGTGATCATTTGGCTTTTTTTTAAATATTTTTTAAAGCCGCGTTCTCTTTTTCGTACACTTAATTTTTACTATATTTGTTGTTTTTTTTATTTATTTATATATGATAAAAAACAAATGAACGAATACGAAAAATATGTATATATCTTTATTTTGATAATGTATCGAAGAAATTGGTAGCCAGAAAAATTGATGAATGTTGTTTGGATTATGTATTCTTTACAATATCGAAACCATTGTATTATTTCTTTGTTTACTTAGATCAATGAAACCCATTTATATATGCCTGAAGACAGATTGTTTATACTAAAAAAATCTCGTTATTCTTATTCTAGGTTATAATTTGTGTACACAATCAGTATACAAAATATTACACGAGATATTGATCACTTTATCAGATGTCTTATTCTTGTACTGAAGTATATGAAAAGTTTTAACGATTATTCATTAGGAATTTTAAATAAGAATATGTTTGTTTTTTATTGATTTAATTGAACAATATCAATATGCTTTGTTTTCTTTCGTTCGGAAGAAAATTAAATTTTTGGGAACGCAAAACAAACAATAAACCGATCGAGAATTTGTTTCAATATTTGAATGCGGAGATGCTAAATAAACTGATTTAATATGCCCGAAAACATGTGAATATATAGTAGTGAAAGACAATAACTGTGTATTGTTTTTTTAAAGTCAAAATTTTATTGTCTTGATGGCAATGACCATTGTCTTTTGTGAGTAATAATTTTTTATTTTAAAAAATACTGTTGTTGAATCGAAAATAATGAAAATTGTAAAACAAAATCTAGCTTTATTTTTGATTAGTCAAAACTACAATACTTTTTAATGATCAAAATCTATTATTGAGAGAAAAGTAGACTTTAGTAAAATATGAGTTCATCTATATATCATTGTGTAGTGAGGATGAGTAAGTAAATGATTTTAGTACTCGATCTATACAAGCACATTTTCTGAGATTATTAATCTAAATCATTTTTCACAGAAACATCTATGGAAAATATTCTTGTTAGTCAAAGACAAGCAGCAAAGAAAACAAATGACTTGTAGTTTTGCTTTAATTTAGTAAGAAAAACTTTTTCTTTTATACATAAAGATATCTTTATGGGACTGCTGATCTCAGTAAACGGACAAACAACACAAACTACATCGCAAAGTACATGGATGAACTATACTGTTTCGTACGAGGACTTTGACGTTAACAATTGTGTTTCGACTACAATTGAAGCTATATCTACAACTGAAACAACAACAACGACGACAACAACGGCATCAACAACAACGACGACAACA